AAGTTAATTTACCTAGCAAAAGTATAAATAAACCACAATAATCCAGGTTTAACCTATAACCCTAGGATTGGTGAGTTCAGTGCTCTGGTCCTACCCATTGACAGGATTCCCATTCCGGTACAAAGTTGACAACAAACAAATTTATACAACAAATTATTAAGTCAAAGTTATATAAACAGTTTTATTTTAAATGCTATGTTAGCAATTAGAAAGTAATGCCATTAAATAATACAAATATAGAGAATCTGTCAAAATTGTATCAAAAATTGTACATGGAAGCAAGGTACTGTATTGAGATTAGACTTACTGTCAGAGTATTTGGCGCATTGTCAATTGCGCTTAAAATGAGTGATTTCAAAAAATAATATCATTTTGTGAATAAATCATACAGGTGATTGTTGCGTTTAATCCATTATTAGTGATCATATATTTAATCACAACCTCCTCCTCCTCCTCCCCCGCTATCGCCACCGCCACCACCTGAGTCGCAACCACCTCCTGAGTCACCGCCTCCACCACCTGAGTCACAGCCTCCACCTCCTGAAGTATCACAGCCTCCAGTATCTCCCGAACCATTACCAGAATCGCATCCACTATCAAAGCCTTGAATTTCTGTGGTAGCAAATGTGTCCTGGGTCATACCATTCCAACCATTATCATCATTAGATGTATTCATGAATATGGGTGAGGGATGCAAATGATTGGGATGTCTTGTATTGCGTCCAGTGTTGGTATGATTGCGACTTAGACCCGCACACATACACAACATAAACCCACCCAGCACTATTGCAACTAATATAAATATTAACAGAAAATCTTGAAAAACCATATTCATAAGTTTGATATTTGACAAACTGATCACATTTCGTACAATTTATATAATATGTTAAATATGTTCGTTAATTGTTTGCAATAGTTTGTGAAATGCAATCATTTCTATGAATTGTATGCATACAATGCAAACGATTACTTGTTTATTATGATATTAAACACAAGTTTATATTAAAAAAAAGTCACTTTTCTACTAATGATGTTAAATCAAAGCTATCAACATTTTGATTATGAATCCCATATTAGCAATTAGCAAGGTATTGCATGGAAACGACGCAATAATAGGGAATGTGCCAAAAGTTNGCATAACTTACTCCTGTTGTTGACTCAATTTAGCCAAATGTTGGGCCCTATAGTTTTCATAGAGTACATCACTGGTCACGTCCTTTAGGTCTTGCATATGAAGACTAAAACATAATTTATACTTAGATTTATAAATTAGATTTAGTAATAATGATAAAAACCTCAAAAATGTTCTCAATTTAATGAAATCGCTGTACTTTTCGTCCTGAATGTCGACAACACCTAAACATAAGAGCAAAATGAGTGAACCATTTGTATACTAAACGTATTGAACTCGAATACCCCATTGATATTCTCGTCCTCTGATTTTTCTGCCCTGGTGTTCAATGGTTTGAGTGCTTCCGATAATAGCGAATGGAATGCTTTCCTAATTGATGGACATATGGATGAAAGCAAATGGAGAGCACATCCACGGACTGAACAATACCTTAATTTCCTGGTCTTTGCGTCTGAACTGATCGTCTTCATCGCTATCGCATTCGGGAATTCGGAAAATACTGATCCCGTGCTCATCAAACTCTCTTAAGATCTACAAGACATACGAATTATAAATGTGTCAATAATTGCAAAACAACTCATAGATTGTGTGCAGACCTTCTTCTTGATGGCATGCATTTCATTAGGTGTGAGAGAGTCTGCCTTCGCAACGATGGGCACTATATTTATCTTTTTATGCAATCGTTTCATAAACTGAATGTCGAGTTGAGATAAACTGAAAGCAAAATATTAAAAAATTGTTAAAATAGCGCAGAATAGGTGGACAACAGAATGGTTACCCCCTTCCGAATGGAGAGATAAAATAGAGACAGCAATGGACTCTATTGTCGGCAATATTCTTGCGGTTGAGTCCGGACTCGTCCTTAAAGTATTGGTCGAACTGTTGGTCGATATAGTTCTCGACGGCTTGGAAGCTGTCGTTCAGATCCAGTGAGTCTCCATATCCAGGAGTGTCCACAATAGTGACCCTCAGTTTGATGCCCTTCTCGATGATGTCCAGCTGTTTCTTATCGATAACTACAGTCCTCTCCAACAGCTTCTCAACACTGAATTGTTTGCGTTGTTTATAGAGATCGGCCAAAAAGAGACAGTTCACTAGAGTTGATTTGCCCAGACCTGACTCACCTACCCGTCCACCCAAACACAAACACTAGCATTAGTACAATGAATGGCTATAGTGGAGGACACGTGTGGGACATACCGACCACCATAATCGTGAAGTCAAAGCCCTTTTTGGCGGACTTTCGGTGAACGTGTTCGGGAAGAGTGGCGAAACCGATCTCACCCTTCAAGACATCATCACATTTAGCTATCTTATCATCCATTTGTCATTCATTCACATCACCGCACCATTCAGTCATCATATGTTACACTCATTGTAATCAATGTATTCATGCATTCATTGGTTGATCACTGATCGCACTGACCGGCGATCAACCTTTCATTCATTGACTGTATGTTTGCAACAAATCATTAGTTATTCAATCAATACTTACAACGACTGGCATTGCATTCAATTGTAGTGCAAAACAGTTTCAAATGACAATTGTATTCAATATTAATGTCAAATTGATTCAAATATTTGACAAACGATTGCTTTGTTTACTAATAAATCGATTCAAACACTCATTCATTGGCTTTGCTTTCAACACACAGTTTGCCTTTTAATGACATAATCGTACACTTATTATACAGGTTTAGGGCCTAGTGTTGAGACATTAATGTTGTGACATGTATTACAAAATGTCAATCGATTTGTACAACACATTGCGTGAACGCCTTTCAATGTATTAGTCAATGCATTTCAATGCCATTAATGTAAAAGTTTTGTCACAACTTTTGGCACATTCTCTATGATTGCGTCGTTTCCATGCAATACCTTGCTAATTACTAATATGGGATTCATAATCAAAATGTTGATAGCTTTGATTTAACAATCATTAGTAGAAAAGTGACTTTTTTTTATATAAACTTGTGTTTAATATCATAATAAACAAGTAATCGTTTGCATTGTATGCATACAATTCATAGAAATGATTGCATTTGACAAACTATTGCAAACAATTAACTCACATATTTAACATGTTATATAAATTGTACGAAATGTGATCAGTTTGTCAAATATCAAACTTGTGAATATGGTTTTTCAAGATTTTCTGTTCATATTTATATTAGTTGCAATAGTGCTGGTTGGGTTTATGTTGTGTATGTGTGTGGGTCTGAGTCGCAATCATACCAACACTGGACGCAATACAAGACATCCCAATCATTTGCATCCCTCACCCATATTCATGAATACATCTAATGATGATAATGGTTGGAATGGTATGACCCAGGACACATTTGCTA